CTCGACCCTAATAGGCCACACACACACACAGATTCCCTTCTCACACGTCACAAGTATTGGCGACCCCCAATAAACTGCCTATCCCTCGACCCCTAATAGGCCACACACACACCCAAATACCATTCTTTCGCGTCACCAATATCGGCGACCAAATTCCTTCCCGTCGGAGTCTCCCGACCATCACCACCATCGGCGATCAACTTACTTCTTCTAGGTAGCGACAACCAACATCGGCATCCCCCAATGCTACCAACCAAAAATAATATTATCCTGTCCTTACTCCACCTTATCTTGAAGCTCTCCTATACCTTTAACCTGTATACCTAAACCACACGCGTCTCCCCATAAGACACACACTAATACTTAACACACCCACACCAGTAACGTTCCCTTGCCAATTACCAAATTTACAATAGCTATACCAACCTATATACAACCCCTACCCTCACACCACTCAGCTACACCACTCATCCCCTCGCCCTACACAGCTACACCCACACACCTCTAGTTCAACACTTCAAACCCACGCTCTACGACCTTTCTTTCCTCCTCCCAAATTTTCTGCACCCACACACTATTTCCTCTCTTACACAAATCCACCTCACTCACCAAATCCCTTCCTCTCTCTCCCTCCATGGCCTATTTTAGATATTCCACTCTCAAATCCCGAAATCACCTCTCTCTCACGGACCTCACTCACACACCGCATTCCTCCCTCTCTCTCCTCCCGCAGACTTCTCCTCATACGTCCCCTAATACTCACACAAAATCCTCTCTCCCACACGGACCTCACTCACACACCACATTCCTTCCTCTCTCTCCTCCCGCGGTCCCCTCCATAAACCTCCATTCGTGCTCACACAAATCTCCTCCCTCTTACAAACCTCACTCACACGCCGCACACCTTCCTTTCACTCCTCCCGCGGCCTCCTCCATAAGCCTCCATTCACGCTCACACACGATCTCCTTCCTCTCATGAACCTCACTCCACACGCACTCTTCTTTCTCTCTTCCTGTCTGTCCATCTCAAAACGACATTGTTTCTTCCTTTTTTTTTTTTTTTCCAGTTACTACAGAAGTAACTTGTGTTTTCCATAAAACTTCAATCTGATGGATCTATAAACCGTTACAAGGCTCGATTGGTAGTTCTTATCAACAAGCAAGAGTATGGTTTAGATTATGATGAGACCTTTGCACCAGTAGCCAAGATGACAACCGTGCGCACTCTACTAACCCTTGTTGCATTTCAATTGTGGTCTTTACATCAAATGGATGTTAAGGACACGTTTTTGCATGGTGATCTAAAGGAAGAAGTTTACATAAATTTTCTGCATGGTATGCCTACTCCCTCACCTAATGTTATTTGTAACTAAAACGTTTTTTATATGACTTGAAGCAGGCACCGTGGGTATAGTTTGAAAAATTTAGATCCGCTCTTCTTGGTTTTTCATTTACTCAAAATCAGTATGACTCTTCATTTTTTCATCAAAGAACATCTAAGCGCTTAGTTGTACTTCTTATTTATGTAGATGACATAGTTCATTGACTCTAATAAAAAAGGAATATATGAAATTCAAAATTTGTTACATTCTTCTTTTCATATGAAAAACCTTGGGCAGCTCGCCTACTTCTTGGGGTTAGAGGTGCATTATCGGACTCAAAGTATTTTTTTGAATCAACAAAAGTATATTCATGATCTGGTTAAATTAGTTGGTCTCACGAACACTACATCTACTGACACTTCTATGTAAATTAATGTCAAATATCAACATGATGAAGGGGAACTTCTTGAGAATCCTACTTTATATCGGAAGCTACTTGGTAATTTCATCTATCTAACCATCACCCGACTAGACTTTTTTATGCTGTCCACATCGTCATCAAGTTCATGCAAGCTCCTCGACATCTCCACTTATCAACAGTCCGTCGAATCATCAAGTACATCCATGACACTCCTAGTCACAGGTTATTCTTTCCTACTGGTTCTTCTCTTCAACTACAAGTCTATAGTGATGCTGATTGGGCAAGGTATTTAGACACTAGGAAATCTGCTACTGAATGATGTATGTTTTTTGGTGATGCCCTTATTTCTTGGAAATGTAAAAAACAAGACTCTGTATTCAAGTCTTACACTGAGGCAGAGTACCAAGCCATGTCTACCACATGCTCAAAGATCATTTGGTTGTGTGGTCTCCTTACAGAGATTGGTTTCTCACAAGTCCAACCTACTCCACTACACGCTGACGACATTAGTGCGATCCAAATTGCCGCCAACCCTGTCTATCATGAAATGATGAAACACATAAAAGTTGACTGTCATTCCATCCGGGAGGCATATGACCGTCAAGTTATTATTTTGCCACATATATCCACCACTTTACAGATTGCAGATCTCTTCACTAAATTTATGACACGTCAGCGTTATAACTTTCTTGTTAACAAATTGATACTTGTAGATTTACCAGCATCAATTTGAGGGGGGATATCAAAGGAATTAATTAACAATTAATTAGCCAACAAATTTTATGAAATTAATCAGCAGATATTATGCAATTAATTGATTTGTTACAATTATGACAACGGATTTTATTCAATTAACCAGCATATATGGCAGCAGATTTTATGTAATTAATCAACAGATTTCAGACAATTATGACAGCAAATTATGCAATTAATTAGCCAGTAGATTTTATATCTAATTTTATGACTTGTGTATTTTTAATATCTTTAATTAGAACATATTTGTTTATCTAATTTAGAGGCTAAAAATTCGTTTATATATTTGTATATATAATGAGAATTCTCCTCCATAAAGGACACACGAAAAAAAATTTCTACTCAAAATCTCTTAATTGTCATAGAAAAGTTCCATCAGAAAAAAGTAATATAATCCTTACAAAATAGCAGGAGCTTTCAAGAATGCACGAGCTAGTGCTACACGCTGTTTCTCACCTCCACTTAACTGCACAAAGAAGTCACTTAATGACTGATAATTCATGAGTCAACAGAATTGTAAAAGATAATGATAACTTTATCTCCTTCTATAATAGCTATTCAATAGAAAAAAGACCATAATTAATGAATACACAAGATTTCCAGTTATTTATGGCAAACATTTGCCGTTATACAAATTATTGTGTTTTTTATGCATCAATTTACAACATTTTATTGCATAGTCTGTGTGATCCATG